CAGTTGGAAGGGTGTAAATACAGGAGTGAAATCGCACGAGGAAGTGTCGACGTGTAGACTATGAGTAAATAAAGGGATTGGTCACATAAGTGCCACGAGGGTAAGGCGTATCAGCCAGGGTCCGGGGGCGCGAGGGCCACGGCGGAGAAGACGGGTGTAGTAGAAATGAAAGTGATGAGGCGATGAAGGCTGGTGGGGTGGTGCCAAAGCTGACGTAAATCCAGGAGGGTGGGCTTGGGGTTCCGGAAGAGCAGGTGCCTTGCGTGCGCATGCCTCGGGCAGCGCAGCATGACGTGGGTGCGGGTGCTGGGGGTGGTTAGATCGCATACACAGGGTGTGCCATGGAAGTGATGAGTGGGGCCCGCCGTCCCAAAGCGAGAAGAGAAGTAAGGGGCCAGGTAGCCGTAGCCCGTTAAGGCTTGGGTTAACCTGGCTTCAACGTCGCGTTCATAATATTTAGAAGTGAAAACGGGGTGTAGCGTCTGGGAAGGCAGGGATGGCCACGAGGACCGTATTGCAGTGGGTCGATCGGTGTAATGGAACTCAGTTTGCCAGGAGGTGGTTGCTCGCTCACGCGCCCAGCGCTGAACCCACGTTAAGGTGGGTAGGACACTATCAGGTAGGGACATGCCTTCTTTGGCTAGCCGGTCTGCCACCTCGTTACCCAGTACACCCGTATGCCCGGGAACCCATAGCAGCGAAATGTTCAAAAGTGGGTATTGCTCTATGAGAGGAGCGAGAAGTGCGCGAAAGCGAAGGGAAAATGGCTGGCCACTGTGTGGGCTCAGCGACAGGACATTGGACAAGGCAGCACGGTTGTCCGTGCAGAGGTAAATGTGAGTAATCATGGGGTAGGTCACCAGAAAACTGGCAAAGCGGCTGGCGACCGCCGCCATTGCGAAGAGTTCTGCGTCATACACCTCAGCCTGGTGACCCATGCCTCAAGCCCGCTCGTACTTTATCGCACCCTGGTGAATGATACACGCACCTGCACCTGCTCGTCGGTTCCGTGGGACGGGGTCAGGCTGGGTGATCTGGGAGCCGTCGGTGAAGACCCATAGGGCATCAGGGAGAGGGATGGAAGAGTGCAAAAGAGGGAAGAAAAATGAGTGTAGGTACTCCTTGGAGCCATCTTTGGTAGGCGGAGGGACGCAGACGTGAACCCTCTCATCCCACGGATGCGCAGGATCCCAGGGTGGCTGCAACCAGGGGAGAAGGTGCGCCGCTCACTTGGACAGGGTTTGTTCGAGCACATCCACCGCGCTGGTGCCGTGGCGGATAGGCACGGTGGGGTTGAGGAGGGAGAAATTGGGTGGGTGGGCAGCGCGGTTGGCCGCCAGGCAGTGGGTCACTGGGTGGGACTCCGAGAGGGTGAGGAGGCGAGCAGCGGCAAGGCCGTTGAGCTCGTCGAGCTGGTGTCTCATCGGCAGGACGCTGGATATTAGGTTGAGGACATGGTGGGGGGTAGACCGCCATGCTCCCATAAACCACCGCAGTGCGTTGTTTTGTACCTGTTGCAAAGGTTGAAAGAGTGAGCGTGGGCCCTGCAGGTTATACCACACAGGGCTACCAAAGGTGAGAATGGGAAGGATGGTGGTAAGGTATAGCAAACGGGCTTGCGCGACCGTCATGCCTCGCTGTGTGTTGGCGAGCATGCGGAAAGCGGCAACACGGGATGAAGCCCGGGCTGCCATGACTCGAATGTGGTAGGTGAAGGTTAGGCGTCAGTCATACCAGATGCCGAGCCAGCGCAAATATGAAGCAGGTTGAATGGTGAGATCCCGCCCATCCCACTGAACCCGCAGGGGGGGGTTGACGTCAAGGGAGCATCTCGGAGAGGTAAAGTGCATAAGCTCAGTTTTCGCCATGTCAATGGTCAGCCCAAGCTGGTGAAGCGTGGTGCCCACACTAGGTAGAGTGCGTTGGATGATGGCAGTGTTCTCGTTCAGTGAGGGAGAAACAATAAGGAGGGCAAAATCGTCTATGTAGCCCACCATAGACTGCTGGGGGTGCGCGAATGGATCAAGGTTCACATACAGCGGGGAAGAGTATATAGTAGAGAGGACTGGCAACAGAGGCGATCTCTGTGGGATGCCTAGCGCAGCGACGTGGTATGACGGACCCAGCTCGGAATTGAGTTTGGGCTGCACGGTGCGTGAGAAAAGAAATGACATGGTTCATAGGACCTCATTTGTGGGGAAGCCCAAAGAAAGGAGAGCAGAGTGAAGGACGTCGTGGCGAATGTTATTGTAATAGCCTTCGACGTCCATACACAGTAAGGTAGCGGAGAAACCGTTTTCCCATGCGGTGCGTACACGGTGCATCAGAGTGACTCCCACATCCACGACGGAGTGTTGGCCCCGCCCACCAAACTGCGAGCCGGGCACAAGATTGTGAGCACCGATTTGAAAGTTGAAACGGGCAGCAACCACTTTTTCTAGGACCTTGCTCAGGGTTTCTAAGAGCGCAATTGGTCAGTGGAACTTGGGTGCAGTGTAATCTGCCTTGCCCGGTTTGGGCAAGTACACAACCGCCGCAGCCCGAAGTGGGGCGGAGAGGTAACCCAGGCACAAAGAAGAGGATAGAAAAAGGAAAAGAGTATGACGCGCACCAGACCGCCAAACCCATTTCAGGAGCCGCCATGACACCCGGGAGATGCCAGGTGCTGAATAGTTAGATGTAGCCTCGATGGCAGCAGTTACTTCAGTGACAAGGAGGGGGCAGTCTGGGCACGCTGCCGGAGGTGTAGAGGTAAAGAGAGGGGGCAGATCAGGCAAAGGCGGAGACGCTGGAAAATAGAAACGCGTGAGTAGACGACCCGCGTCAGCAGGGAGAGAACCAGTCTCCCCGTCCGTGCGGATGACAGGTAGTGGGGGTGCCCGCACTCCTTTGGTCCAGGAGGTGAGCTGCCAGGGGTTGGTGTGCTGGAGTCGCGCGACTGCCTCCCGAGTCCAGTCCTTCCGAGCTTGTCGAATGATGGCCGAGAGTGTGACTTTGGCTTCTCGCCTCTCCTCACAAGTATGAGCCACCTGGACACCTGCGCGGGCAGTGTCGCATGCATCGTTCCACCAGAGCTGGGAGGTCCAGTGAGCATGTATGCGTCGGGGAAATACTTCGTGGCAGGCCACGATCATTGCTCGCAGCAGAGCCTGAGCGCCCACTTCGAGGTCGTCATTGGTGGTATAGGTGGCCGGTGGTGGGGACAGTGCCAGCTTGCAGGCAAGGCACGTGTTCCAGTCATCCCGTTTGGACACGTCAACTCGAAAACCAAGGTCGACGTCTACGGGGTGGGCAACGTGAGAGAGAGTAGAGGTTAGTAGAGCGTGGTCAGATTCAAAGGATGTGGGAGTAGCAGCGACTCCGTGAATGTGAAAGTGCACACTGGAGGTCACGCAAACCAGATCGATGATGGTGCCCGAGAGCAGGTCACCATTCACCATGTGGGTGGGTTGATCGAGGTCATTAAGAATTTCAAGCGACTCGCGCTCTAGCCACCCAGCGAAAGTGGTGGAGGCAGTGAAAGCAGAGCGGGAGGCCCGTCTGGTCCATAACCATAGGGGGTGGTGGAGATTAAAATCTCCGGTGACAAGGAGGTTCGCTCGTGGTGGGAAAGAGATATCATAGAGAGTGGGCAGAACACGGTGTTGGGCTCGCGAGCCTTCGTTATAGCAGTTGACCACGAAGAAATCATGGGTGGGATCAGAGCGGGAAACAAAATGAAGGATGACCACATCCGGGTCTGACACCAGGTCGGTACACATGAATATGTGATAAGTGTTTAAGAGTACGCGCCGGACTAGGATGCTGGCTCGGGGTCACGGCAGCACAGAGGTGGAGGGGAAATGATAGGCATCCAGGCCGTAGGGCCAGACATTGACATGACCATAAACAGTAGTGCCTGACTCAGAGCCATGGGGGGTATCGATGCCGATTTGCCCTCACCACGGTTCTTGAAGAAAATAGATATCGTAGGAAGTGGAAGAAACGAAGCCGTGGACGCGTGGATTGGACCGGGCCACATTCAAATGAGCGGTTGTGATATTCATGATGAGGGGTTGGTGCGCGAGATGGGAATGCGGTAATCTTTCCACGCAGGGCAGGTGGTGTCGGCAGCACTGTGACCGTTGGTGCCACAGACGACACAGAAATAGTGGTCAGACTCGCAAGGCTGGTCAGCCGGGTGAGCCTCATGATTGCAGACAAGGCATGCCTGCCGATGCATATCGGATGTGTGGTCAGTCTTTCCACAGAAGCGGCACACAGGCGCCCGCTTCTTGCAGTGACTTTCGAGATGCGTGAGGCGCCAGCAACGAGTGCATTGACAGAAAACGGGATGATCTTTCGACTTCTTTACAGTGATGCGGGAGCCATAGAACCAAAGGAAAGCAGCAGCATCACCGCGGTTGTCACGTTCAAGGAGGTTACGCGCACAGTAGTCGCGATGGGCATCCTCAATGGAGATGATAATAGAGGACTTCCCGAGCTGCTCGCGATGTTCCTTAGGCACAACGAAACTGGGTAAACTGTTGAAGTGAACAGATGAAAACATAGCATTACGGCGTAGTTCTGCCATGATTTCCTCCTCAGTGAGTAACAATCCCGTGTTGGGATGACGCAGCGGGCAGCTCGGGATGAATAGTTTCGTAACAGGAACGAGAGGGCAGAAGTCCGGCGGTGCGGATGCATGCTCACGCGGGTCTGGCGCGGGGGAGGTGGCATGCGGGACGACTTCCAAGATGTGCCGTATGGGCCGGAGACACTCCTTGATGAGCGCATCCGGGGAATCATGCGAGAAAACCGCTTGGACCTTGGTTGGTCCAGCGAAGCGGAGACCGAGAAAACGTACCTTGGCCCACACGGGGGTCTCGCGCAGGCGTGTATGGACCTTAGCATACCATTGGGGCATGGTACCCCCTGCCTCGATGGCGGCATGCTGCTCGGGGGTAATGAGAAGGACGTAGCACTTCTCGTGGTTCTTGGCGGCCACCTGTGCCATGGTTGGGGCATTCGGGGCCTGCGTCTCAGGCTGCATCATAGGCTGCGCTGCAGGGGCAGCAGTACTGGAGTGGGTGGTGGGGGCACGTTGATGACCAGTACGGACTGGCAGTTGGGGTCGCGGTCCCTCAGGGGCCTGAGGAGGGTGTGGCAGCGGACCCCTGCGTACTAGCTGGGCCTCGATAGCCGACAGCTGCGTGTTGATGGCTGACGTTGCCATGTGAACGCCGTCCTCGATGGCCTTAGTCAGGGCAGCCTGCATGTCGATGCCGACAGGGAGGGCGCCTTCCGTGCACGGGCGGGTGCATGGAACCTCGTCCATGAGTGTGTCGCTGTCGAGAAGGATGGCTGCGCTGGCGAGCTGCTGATGGAAGAGAGCCTGGTAGAGTTGCATGATCTGGGCACCAGCCTCGGTGTCGATGATGAGGGAGTCACGCATGAGAGCGTTGTGGAAGTCGCGAAGGCAGGTAGTGAGCGCGACAGCGCAGTTCTCGAACTCGTCGGAATATGCCTCGGCCTCGTAGGGGCCTTCGATAATGCGCTGCATGCCGACAGCAAGGTCACTCAGATTGTTGCGCAGAGACCTAATGGTGTCGCGCATATTATTGTGGACCGGCGGGTGCGGGGGCGTCGGCGCTGGGGCCGACGTCATCGTGCTCGCTGGCGGTGGAGACCCTCCCAGAGGAGTTCGCTCTACACCTATGCCCTCCATGGTCGATTCGCTGGCAGTCACTTGTTGGGTGCTTATAGCGGACATGGTGGTACGAGAAAAAGAAGGATGCCATTGTCTCAGATCGTGGCTCTGTTTTTGTCAGCAAATTCTGATCTGAACTTGCGCGCCTCCTCAAGATCAATCTTCGCACATCTACATCATACCACCCTCAAACTGATGGACTTACAGAACGAACGAACCAAATGCTCGAGATGTACCTTCATGCATTCATTTCTTACCAGCAAGATGACTGGGTTGATTACCTCCCTCTTGCTGAGTTCACCTTCAACAATTCCGTCAACATGTCCACTAAGCAAACACTGTACTATGCGAACTTTGGCTTCCACCCCACCTTTGAGCCACGTCTCACAGAGCGCTCGACTGTCCCTGCTGCCACCAATTTCGCTGACCATCTGCAACTCATCCACAACGAGTTGCGCACTGAGCTTGCTAACGTCCAGGACTCTCAAGCCCGATTTTATAATCACCATGTCTCCCCCGCTCCTGCATTCAAGCCCGGTGATCTCACGTGGCTCCTGCGTCACAACATCAAGACCACGCGCCCTTCCGATAAGCTCGACTACCAGAAACTCGGACCATACCCAATTGCACGTGCATGCAGTCCATCTTCATTCGAACTTAAACTGCCATCAGGCATATCACGACTCCACCCCATTTTCCATGTCTCCCTGCTCGAGCCATATCAACCTCCCACTGACGTTCTTCATCGCAACGCTGCCCGTTCCGCTCCCATCGAGCTTCAGTCTGATCTTTTGCACATCGAGATGTTCCTCGACTGTCGCAAAGTTGGTCACCGATATGACTATTTCATCCATTAGAAGGATCAACCTGTCTCTGAGCAATCGTGGATCTCCCTCTCTGACATTCCCTCTTCACTGAACGAGCAGCTTGAGCGGTTCCACTGCTGGCACGCAAAGCTGCCTCGTCCACATCATGTTGTTCTCGACCGATGCATGTTACAATTTTTGGAACCCTCTGCATCTTCGGATGTAGGCCCTACTACTAATAACTCCTCCACTCAGATTACCTCTATCGACCCTGTATCTCTCACGCAAACGTCTCGCTCCACCTCACCGCCTATCGTGCGTCAAAACCTTCGCATGGCTTACGAACCACCGTCACAAACGACTACTCGCTCTGGTCATCTTGCCCACCCTCCCGTACGCTATGATCCTGAATTGCGTTGCAGCGCTCCACCTAGGACGGGGGGTGATGTCATGATCTCTGTCGTGCTACAGACACACTGCGAACTCTTGATGCTCTTCCATCGCTGTACATTTCATTCCTCATTAGTTGCATCCGCTCCGCAGCGCGCTCTCGACTACTCGAGGTTGGATAGCCTCGAGGCGGATATTCTTCTTTTTAGTTGCATCCGCTCCGCAGCGCGCTCTCGACTACTCGAGGTTCAATAGCCTCGAGGCGGATATTCTTCTTTTGGACACAGACGTTGTAGACGACGTTCTAGTCATGCTTGGTTTCCTTCAGATGACTCTTGCATCCGCTTCCGCTTACGAGATCATCCTTATATTCTTCCTTAGTAATGCTTTCATCCTACATGTATATAAGCTGTGACGATTCTCCGGGAATCGTCGCAGGAACAACGCCAGTAGTCTCTCGACGTACTCTCTTATCTATCCTCTTTGCTCCTCATTGCCTTTGCTCCTCGCGTCGCCCTTATCTCCTGAGTCGAGCCATTACAAATTGGCTCACTGTTGTGCTGTCAAATCTAGCAATTGTGCACTCAATAGCCTTATATCATCATAAAACTATTTATATTATATATATATGTCTATTTACTATGTACAGGCCCAACTGTAAATAAACAGATATAGTAAACAGTTAAAACTATGTAACATAGTATATAGATAGAAATTTTGGAGCCTTAGGCACTACTCGTGGTCGACCTACAACTCACCTCATGGGAAATGAAGTTACTATGTATGCATTCGCCGGCGTTGACATTCGGGTCATCCCAAGTGCCAACTTGCTCTGTCACTAAGCCGTCGCTTAGGGGATTGTGGAGCTTGAATTAGCGGAGATGACGGGGTGCGGGGTAGATGCGGGGTGTCAAAGATTGTGGCAAGATTGTGGCGACAGTGGCGGGTGAGATTGCCATGCAGCCTCAGGCTGAATAGGCCACACGGCCCCGGATGGGCACGATTATAATTATAGCCAACTGTACATGCAAAATAAGCTGGCATACACATTAATCGGCAGGCTAGCTACGGACGTCGAAGCAACAAACAAGAAATACAGAAGCGTGCCTCGACGCGACCTTGTTCTGTCTACATGGAATCAACTTGAAACCCCTTAGTATGATGAACGATGAACGAGTCGCTCTCCCGGAAGACTGGACAGGATACAGGGGTCTTTCAGTGGGTAGTGTCCCCGTATTTCCCCTCATTTTTGACCCGGGCTGACGAAACCCACACTAGCTATTTAGCCGTGTGCTAATAGCATTTTTTCTCCCTTGGATAACTCCTGCGGGAAACCTCGTACGCAGGCTGGACGTCCGGGGCTGACCAATTGTCAGTTGCCGCCATCTGTATACAGCCCTCCAAATAAAACGGCCAAATGGCAAGTTGCATCGAACTCTGTATGATCGTTCGCTGTAGTCATTGCAATTCGAAGCGAATTTTGTGACTTTTGATTGGGCTGCGTCCAACGCGATCTTCGTACGATCGCCTTCGAGGTGTGTTATCCTCATGCCACTTCCATTATTTCTGTCAAGGTGATTATGTGGCAGCACAACCAGTACTTGAGTACACTGTCCTATACTGTCCCATATGCGTATACACGTGTCTGACGATCTTACGACCATTCCTCGGTCATGCTCTAACACTTGAAGGCACCTGCCAGGAATTCGTGTTTTTGCAACTCCTCCGCTGTAGCGCGTTCCGCGTAGTCGAAACGTAAACAGGCGCGAATGAAGTCGGCCGCCCTCTTGATTTCGTCCTCCGACAGGCCCGGTACCTTGTAGTTCGCTATCGCGGTTTCCAGACTGACGGGTATCAGCTCTGATATGTGCAGGAGATTACCTGTCATGAGTGTTGAGCATGGAGAGTACTACTAGATCGAGTTAGATCGATATCATAGACATACCGGCATCATCGAAGTAATCCTTCCGGCGCTGCGCACGCTCGAGCAATGACACGGGAAAGCGTTGGCCGGTAATCTCGATCATTTTAGCGAGGTGGTCATCCTCTAAGCTCCAGTCCTCACCCTCATCTGGGTGGAAGAGCCAACGGCCCACAAGGAGCTCAAATGTCTGCCCACAGAATCAAGTGAGATAAACTTGCACAACCCGCCTGGAGACGGTGTATTTAGCAGGGGCATACGATGCAGCCGACGGCTCAGATATCCAGTCCCGGCCCAAAGTCAGACTGGAGGATCACTTCGGGCGTGCGAAGGGCGTACGCGCCAAAGCAGTCGGCGGTGGGCTGCTCGCCAGCACGCTGAGCTGTAAGAGCCGATTGAATGAACCGCCCACACAATGTACTTTGGTTGGCCGCTTACCTTGACCGTAGTCCATTAGATAGATGATCACATTCTCCGCCTCGAACGCGCTGGTGTCCCAAGAATGACCGTTCGGGATTGGTTGAGACTTGAGGATAGGGTAGCTCTCGCCGTCAAGCTCGAAGCTCCCGTCTGTCTCGGCCGGGTGGGACTCGAGGAAGCGGCTGAGACCATCATCCGAAGGGTAGAGCGAGTTACCGAAGAGTAGGTTGTCTAACTTCACGTCTACATCATGATAATGGCAGGTGCACGTCGACGAGAGGGACTGTCAGCCTACCTGTGTGAACTATACGCATCGCGTGCAGCTGTACGAGCGCCTCCACGAGCATCATGACGATGTTTCGCACCATGTAAGGCGGCAGCGCTTTGTTAGGTGCTGAACGACGCAGAGCAGAGACAGAGGTGCTGTAAAGGTCCATAACCAGGCAAAGGTGCTCTCCCCTGGGGCCATGCTCAAAGAAGTGATCGCGCAACATGGGAAGGTAGTCGGTGTCATTGCGAGCTTCAATCTCCTTCAAGAACTCGAGCTCGCGCATGTGGCCTGTGCTGTGGCGTTTGGTGGCGTCGACGGTCAGGATCTTCGCAGCAAGGTATCTGTAACCCCGCCTGTTGGGAGGATGAGACACTGTGTATTTGGAGCAAAATGTGAAAAATACTCACTCGCCATGCTCGTTATGAACAATCCATGAAGAGGAGGACGCGCCCTCGCCGAGCTTGCGAAGGATCTTGTAGCGCCCAGCATTTAGCGGGGCATTGGGGCGAGCGGGAAAGTAATCGGGGTCGAAGGTAGGAGCTGGGTTCGTAACGGAAACAGCAGCCATAGTGCGCAACGGGAGGACAGGACGTAGAACCAGTGACTGCAGTCGGATCGCAGAAGTCAGTGTCCACTTCAAGTGGTAAAGCCTTTTCATAGAGGCAAAATACCAGTTCACATTTGTCACACATATTACATGGTGACATGTCTCCAGTGAAATGATTGGATTTTGCACCAAGTGTATGCTATTACGGTCTTTTGGAGATCACACATGCACTCACCTCCAAATCCCAATACGTCCATAGGTCACCGGTCATACGCGGCACGAGCGAACTGACTCAGCTGCTCGCCATTTGCTCAAATATCCTTCTCTGCGTACGCACATTCCCCTCACACTTCCGCATCACCACCATGTCCGCATGCGCTTTCGTGCCACCCACCGCCATACTTTCGAAATTATCTAGCTCTATGCTCTCCTCGACTGTCCGTTCTCTCTCACGACCATTCAGAATCGCATCACACCGGCTCTGCCATGCTTCACCGTTACGCCTTCCTGTTCGGCCTCGTACACGATATGCCCCAACGGCACTTGCTCTGACCGATATTTCGGGCTCTTTGTTGGCTCGGCGTGCATTCCATTTGAGTGCAGGTGAGTTTCTCGCATATCTACCGGCCAGACTGATAACTCAAACGCGGCCAGTCGCATATCATGGTGGTGTCGAGCGACCTAAGCCTGGTACTGGGTAAGCACATACATTTTCAGATTGTATATAGAGCAGGAGAGTTCGTTCGAGCTGATTCATTCAGAATCAAAGTGCATTGGAAAGATTCAAAGGGAAACTTAATCAAAACCGTGGAGGCGAACGAAGGGGATGACCTGCTGAGCGTCGCGCATGAGTATGATATAGACCTGGAAGGTATGTACCTCTATTGATGCACAAGACTAGACCTCGACTACTTGCCTTCAATTATCATTCACGCCATCGCTCGCAATCTCGGCTCAATGCACGCTGTGACAGGTGCTTGCGAAGGTTCTGTAGCATGTTCGACCTGCCATGTTATCCTAGATTCGAAACATTACGATCTTTTACCCGAGCCTGAGGTGGGTCGTTTCCGAGCCTTTCAAAAGAAGGCAAATTCATCCTTTGCCTTGTTCAGGATGATGAAAACGATATGCTCGACATGGCATTCGGTCTAACAGACACATCCCGACTTGGATGTCAAGTGCAGTTAACTCGCGATCTGGATGGCATTACCGCCACACTCCCGGCGGCAACAAGAAATATGTTCGTTGACGGTATGATCGATTTCGTCCTTCTCGTCTCTCAGATTTCGTTGATCAGAGGTTCCTTGCACAAATACAGGGAAGAAATCAGCCCATCACTGACAGGCCGACTATTTTGATCTCAAAGGATGCGATGGTGCCGCTAAATTCAATGCTTGGCATACGATTGGCACCAGTGCGTGAGATGTTATGTGTATTCTACGACGTAATGTATGCTACGGACCATCGGCGGACAAATGAAGCCTAGGTGACCACTGCAGCGATTCCGGTCAGTAACGACACTACGCCGATTCGTTGATTGCATGGTGCTTACCATATTTGGGCCCTCCCCCTCCCTCAGGCACCGTCCATGTGATGTCCTGCGTAGGAACCTTGATATCGCATAGTTTGCAGTGAATGCAGTTCTGACACGACATGAGTTCGATATGTCGCGGTAGAGTGCTAAAGAGAACCTACTTGTGAGTTGATAACCAGCTTTTTGCCTCCCCAACTGTCGTCCTCTTTGTCATTGGTTAAAGAAGCTTCGTCGTCGACATATTCGTAAACCTGTGCTGGGCATGCACGACCTAGCAGGCCCGCGTATTCGGAAACGTTAATCCGTACATGCTCCTTTCGCACCTCCCTGCCCTCGACAAATCTCTCCGACTTCATGTCTTCGTTTGCTGCATCACTCCCTGCGCCTGAGTCACTTGCCACAGACTCGTATCTTCTCACGCGCAGGTGCACGGGCTGGTCTTCCGCATGATTTGTTCCGGTGAGGGCAAGGCTGGTCAGCAAGTCGGTCGACAACGGCGGCTCGAACGGTGGATAGTCTATCGGCTTGAACTCCTTGGCGGGTTTTGTGTGTGCTGCATCGCTCATCTTCTTCGTATTCCGGAATGTCCATGGTGCGCGGCCCTTGAGGAGGAGCGTGTCGATGCCAGAGTACGCGATGCCGCCCCACATGCCCAGCGGTGTGTTGAACGACGGGCGCACGTTCCGCACCTCGCGCAGGTCGTCCCACACCCAGCTGTTGCGCAGGGCTTCCTCGTACTTGCTCATGTCCGTAGGCGCGCGCTCCGCCTCCGCGCCGTCTTGTGCCGTGACAGCGTCGAACGCGGCCTCGGCAGCGAGCATACCGCTCTTCATCGCGTTGTGCGTGCCTTTGATTTTTGCGACGTTGACGAAGCCTGCGGAGCAGCCGATGAGAGCGCCACCGGGAAAATGCAGCTTGGGAATGGACTGCAGGCCACCCTCATTGAGTGTCCGTGCCCCATACGCGATACGGGACGAGTTGCCTGAAAGTAAATCCCTGAAGTAAGGATGATGTTTCATACGCTGAGGATATATTAGCAAACGTCGTGAACTAACGCTGCGTAAACGTACTTGGAACTCTCTATACGGGCTGATGTACGGGTTCGCGTAGTCCAGCCCTACCACTAACCCCAGACTGACGAGTCCATCCGCCATATGGTAAACCCATCCTCCTCCGTATGTCTGCCAGTCAATTGGCCATCCCATTGTGTGCACGACCTGTCCAGGGTTGTATTTTGACGGGTCAACGCGCCAAACTTCTTTCACGCCAATACCGTATGTCTGTGGGTCGCTATCCTGGCGCAAGCGGAAGCGGCGAATTATCTCCTTTGACAACGATCCATGCGCGCCCTCTGCAAGCAGCGTAACGCGGGCGTTGAACTGCATTCCCGGCTCGAAATTGTCCTTCATCCGTCCTTCACGGTCGAGCCCGACCTCGTTCGTTCGCACACCGAGCACACTGCGTCCGTCGGGCCCGTACACGATGCCTGCGCCTGCGAAGCCGGGATAGACCTCGACACCGAGTTCTTCTGCAACGCTGCCGAGCCAAGCGGTGAAGCGCGAGAGAGAGAGGGCGTGTGTGCCCATCTTGGCCATCTGGGGAGGCTGCGGGATGCGGAAAGAATGTGACTTGGTGAAGAAGCGCATGGAGGTATGCGTCGTGGGTTGAGTGAGAGGATGTCCTTCTCGCTGTTGCCAGTCGGGTAAGAGCTCGTTCAAAGCGCGCGGCTCGATGACGGCCCCAGAGAGGATATGAGATCCTGTTCATTATATCGGTCAGAGTCGATCAAGGGGCCGATACAAGGAAAGCGATTCGTGAGACAACGCCATTGACTGTCGAATGTTGAAAATGCCAATGTGATACATTATGTGAGAGGCCATGAAGACATCAAGGCCAGACGATGACCCATATGCGCGAAGTCCGAGTGAAGATTCTCAGTCTGGACATTCCAAAAAAGTAACAACGCCGAATGCGAGAGAAGCCAGCATCGGAATAGGCCTCTCCACACTCGAACAATGGTCAACTAGGTTTAAGATAGAGTGGACATCGAAGCAGCTGGACGTTTCGCCAGCTTCTATGCTCGCTCGATATCGCGTGAAGGGATTATGAGTGCTCGCGAGTTGAACATTTGGAAGTACTCGAAATTAAACATATTGGTGCTTTTGGCGTTTTCGGACACTATGATGTATTTCAGGAATAATGTGCGTACCAACTTCAGCACCCTTCTCGAGAACGACCACACGGATTTCGCAGCCTCTCTCCTGCTCCAGCTGCTTCAGACGTATGGCAGCACTGAGACCTGCAGGACCCGCGCCAACGATACAAACGTCGACTTCATCTGAGATTCTCTCTACAGTCGAAGGGTCGAAGAGCTCTCGCGTTCTACGTGGGGTGGAATGAAGCGAGCGCAGGGAGCGGAGGAGTGCTCTGTGCTCCCCGCAGCGAGAGAGCATGGACACTACAAATTGCAGCGACGGTGGTGGATGAGAGGCAAGGAGCACTCGGGTTACGGATGGCCGGAGGAGGACACAGTCTGGGGAACAATCACGAGCGGGGCACTCTAAGCGCTCGTACCCCGCAGTGCTAAGGGTCCCTCCTCGATCGCTTTCCAGATGGACTCTGGACACCCTTCCGTCATTTTCGGCCACGCGGCGGCCACAGCAACTGCGCAACCACCCACCTCCGCTCTCGTCCTCGAACGAGGTCGCCTCTGTACTTTTATTCCTACTCGTACGCTCTGGACGGGCTTGCACACCATGACTGGTTTCGGAGCCATTCCTCTCGCAGAGGAAGGTGCGGAGGACAACGACGACTCCCATCTCACAGGAGTTGCCAGGATTCTTGGCCCGCGTTGGCTGCAACTTCCAGCTCTGACCGTCGGTCTGCTCGGCGTGCAAGTCTTTTGGTCGATCGAGATGTCTTATGGTAACGCGTCCATGTCTTGCTCGTGAAACCGAGCCTGATGCGTCCTGCAAGGTACACCTTACCTAATCTCCTTGGGTCTCTCCAAGTCGGCAGTCGCCACTGTCTTTCTTGCAGGACCTCTTTCTGGACTCGTCGTCCAACCTTTGATTGGTGCGTTCAAGAACCAGCCGAGATACTACTCAAGTCCGATGTCGCTCTGCTATGCAGGTGTCCTCGCCGACAACTCCAAGTCACGGTTCGGACGCCGGAGACCCTACATGCTTGCCGGAACATGTATATGTGTGACTGCCATGCTCCTGTTAGGCTTCACCCGACCTTTCGCTACCCTCTTCACTCCGTCCGGCTCCATAGCGGTGCGTTCTGCGTTCTCCCCCATTCTGATGCAGTTCATCACGTAGAATTCCCTGTTATTGGTAGAATCGTCTGTTAACAATTTGGCTTGCGATCGTCGCTCTCTTTGCGGTCGACTTTTCTATCAACGCAGGTTTGTTAGTCTCACCGAAGCCCTCGTGTCCTCTATTGAGCTGGCTTCCGCCGTCTCGTACATGCAGTGCAAGCAGTGGATCGCGCTCTGCTAGTTGATACATTGCCACCGTCAGATCAAGCGGAAGGGAATGCTTGGGCCGCTCGCATGCTCGGTATCGGGAGCGTCGCAGGATATTTTATGTCAGTATTCTTTTTTCTCTGTACATCTTGCTCGTGCAATTGCTTAATCCAATTTCAGAGGCAATGTCGATTTGACTACCGTGCTCCCATTCTTAGGTGATACCGAGCTCGAAGTACTGTCGATTTTAGGATCATTCTTGCTTGTTGTGATGCATCTCGTCACTGCTCTCTGTACAAAAGAGAGGGTGGTGGTTGCGAACAAGTGCGTCCGTCCAAATATCGCGCTCCTCACCACGTGTCATCATCTCGGGTTCAGAGCAGCGAAGAAGAGCTTTCGCAAAGAGCTCAGCGATCTCTGGTATAACGCACGCAACTTACCATCCATCATCCGACAGATCGTATGTTCTCATCAACAAGATTGATGCTGTCACTCACGGGTCGCTGCCCAGTGTATGATACAGTTCTTGTAGGTTCCCCCCTTTTATCCGTGTCACACTTTACACATTGTCCCGTAGCGCATGGATAGGTTGGTTCCCTGTCCTCTTCTACACAACCGAGTTTATCGCAGAGCTGCACAAGCGCGTGCACCCGGACAGCGCGGATGATCCCTCCTTGAATGCCGAGGCAACACGCCTCGGCTCGCGCGCGATGTTCTACAGCTCCATCCTCAGCCTCGCGTCGAACGTGGTGCTCCCATTCTTTGTCTGCGAGGCGGCCAGTAGTCGTAAACTGCTGGAGCGCACGCTCAACGAGAGTAAAAGTAGGTGGGCGAAGATGTATGAACGGATCAAGATACATCTCGCGATGCTGTGGGCTGTCTCGCATCTAATCTTTGCGGGGTGCATGGCAGCTACATTGTAAATCCAGTTTTGACCATGCTACCGATTAATCGATTTGACCATTCAACCGGACAGTTTCTACTCGAGCGTCTGGGGCGCGACCATCTTCACAACGTTGACTGGGTTTTCATGGTCCATTACGCAATGGGCTCCATTTTCCCTGGTGCGTAGAGCGTGCTGCTTATAAACTATGTGTCCATGTGCTTACGTACTGCTCTGCGTTCCAGCTCGCAGAAGCGATTCTCACCGAGAATGCACCAGGAGATGATACCGGATCCATTATGCTAAACGACACACGGCGGAGATCTCGCGACCTCACAGCCGATGCGGAAGAACATGAGCGGCAGTTCCTTGTTGCGAGTGGCGAAGGGTCGCGTGACAGCGACGACGACAGCGGGCTGGAGGCTGAGGTGCAGTCATTCCGATCGTCCGCCTCGATGGACGGGCAGGAACACGATGAGATACAGGAGCTTCGCGGCGAGATCATGTCGAACTTGTCGGCGCAGACAAGCCACCTCCACGTGCCGACTGTTGCGCATAGTGAGCCTGACCGGGCGCCGCGAGAGCACAGCGGTGGGCTTGCAGCGAAAGCTGGCGTCATCATCGTCGGTGTTCCTTTAAACGTGAGCTGGTTGGTGCAACGCTGACCCTCGCTCGTCCAGGGCATACACAACATATTTATCGTGATGCCGCAGTTTATTATGACGGGCATCGCGTCCATCGTTCTTGCGCTAGCAGATGGCGGCTCAGCTGACGACCGCTCCCACGCGATCGAAGCTGGGAACGGTACCTCTACTCCGGCGGACTTGCCGCAAGGTTCTGATCTACTATTGAGGGACGACGCTGCGGCAGCTGGGAGACCGAATTCCTACGCGATAGTATTCAGGTGAGCCGTGACAATGTCTGCGAAAACTAAATGAAGACATATTTGGCATAGGCTAGGAGGATTGGCCGCTGCGGTTGCCTTTGTGCTCACTGTTCGATTAGCGCACGAATTGCGCCGACGATGATGATATCCTATCGCTGTCGTCGCAGCTTTGGATTGTTTCATGTATAATTTTTCCAGTGAATCTTCATTCTGCTTTACAACTGACCTTTACATGGCAACTTCGTCGACAACTTTGAACGCGAATCTCAGTTATGCTAACATATCGCGACACATTTGCTACAAGCAGTCGCTGGAATCGGAAAATCACTGCAACTCCAATCGGAAGGCCAGTAGTGCAGTGCGTGGGATCTATCATAAACGACAGGATCGCCGGGTTTAAGCTCTCTCACCCAGTGCATCTCTCTCTGAGATGTTCTATTTGGCGAACGGCCACCTCTTGGAACAGGGCGTCCGTTGATGCTTCTTTCAGATCCTCAGCCTTTCTCTTCAGGCGCCGCTATGGGCAATCCTGATGCATTGGCACGCGCATCGTCGCCACATCTGATATCACGAGCAATCTGTCCATATGTGGCTGTACGTGCTGCCGCATTGCGCCGTGTTGGCTGCGTCTGCTCGTCGAGTTGCTGCGGATACTGCAATGCGAGTGCTCGTTCCGTCAGGATGTCACTCGAGAGCGAATCATTGAGCTCAAGATCGGTTCTCCAACGAAATAGGCCGCGTTGCTCGCCTCAACATCAGAGGGCCGAGTTGGGGCGTCGCACGAACCTTGGTGACGTGAGTCGTTCATCGCTTGGATAAATGACAGGGAACTGCATCTCCTGACAACATTACGAGATTCATTCCGGCCACTCGCCTATTCTTACTTGATGGCCGGCCTGGACCGCATGACGGTGCGGAACGACTCTATCCCAGAAGTGGGTGTGTCACCACTGCGAGTGATTATATGGGAGGATGTAATGCCTTGACCGTAAGGCGTGGGCGGCGAGCACCCAAAGTTTGTCGCCGTCACGCTTTCCAGTCGGTGCGCAGGCATTCAAAGAACGGCCTCCGCCTTGAGGATCACCACGAAGAGCGCATGTGCAGTATGGGCTCATGACCGCCCCGTCGACTGTATGGGCCAAGAGAGACCGGCACTAGAGCACATACACACTTCGCGCGGTACTGCCACCATGCCCCAACCATCCGAGGTTAGCGTGTTTGTTCACATCACAATTCAATGGTCCGGTGCGTCCGGCATTATAATCCCTTCTTGCAGAGTATACAACATGCGGGTATATTACCGGGCGATACAGTATGTACAGTGCAGGTATCATAAGTGATATATGCAGGCGAGTTATATATCGGAGTGCGCTGATATGGTGGAGCGGCGAGGGCGTGGGCTAGTCCGCGTATCCCTGAGGGAGCGGTTTGGGTTCTTTGTGTGATGTGCATGCGAGCGAGCGAGTGGCAAAGTCTAGTAGCCAAGAGGCATGTGTGGCGGTCAGTAATATGCAGAGGGCGACGTGAAGAGGTGCAGCAATGACAGTCAGCCAGTGAACAAGTACATGCGTAGATGGAGGTGCGATGCGCGTCAGACGCGCTGGGTGTGCTTCCGGCGGACGAAGAGTATCCGCGAGACGGTCATGCATGCGAGGCCCGCAAACGCGCAAACCTTCACGGGAGAACAGCGTCAGCCGGAATCAGGCTGCAAGGAGCCAACCACGCACCCCGGTAAAGACGAGGGCGCGCCACCACATGAGGAAAGTTGCATCATTGCGGCCCGTGCCGAGGAGTGCGCCCGCGATCGGGTTGCCAGTGAGGTTTGCGACGGCAACGACGGTGTACGCGAGGCCCATCTTTACGCTGCGGCACGGCAATCAGGAGCCGCCCGTACCCGGCATGTGCGTGCCACTCACCCGAGCTCGCTCATCGAGTTGCACAGCTGAACGAGTAGCGACGGGATCAGCGAGATGTCTGCGAATTGTCAGTACGCGGGAATCAATTTCGGGTGGACACGCACATGCGCCTGATGCAAAGCCAAAGAGGAGGGCGACGAGGATGATGCCCGCCGAGTTGGTCGCGCCAAAGATGGCAAAGATGAGGGCGGTACAGGCGAGGATGCTCGGCAGGATCATGTTGTACACGCCAAGGCGGTCTGCGAGGAAGGTGGGCACAAGGCGGCCGGCGATACTGCCTGCGTTGAGGATGGCGAGCTGCGGCACGAATGAGAAGCGGGGCGAATTTCACAAGAAGCACGACGCACGCAGTATGTGGTTATCCGGGAATCGACGCCGTGGTCTTCGGCAAACAGCTGGAGATAGAAGACTGCGCGGGGATCAACGGGGAGCCAACCAGAGGGGCCATGAGCACTCACGTGGAACGTATATGCCCAGGCTGGTCAAGAAGGCGCTGAGAAAAGAATGAGCAGTGGAAGTTAGGCAGAGCGGGCCACTGACCCGGCGATGGACCAGAGATAGGCCCCGTCGCATATCACGTCGCGCATCTGGGACCAGCTGATGGTGGCAGCAGACTGCTTTGGGGGAAGGCGGGTGCGCATGAGGCAGTTGGCGAGGAGGAGGAGGGCACCGCAGACAGCACCGGTGGCACGGACGGCGTTGGGAAAGCCAACGGAAGAGTTGATGAGGCGATTGAGCATGATGGGAAAGACGATACCGCCGGCAGAGGCCCCGCTGATGACGATGCCGATAGCGAGTGCTCTGCGACGGCGAAAGTGGTGGGAGACGATGCTGAGGGAAGGGAGGAAAGCGGTGCCGAGGCCGAGGCCCATGCCTACTGCCTGGGCGAGAAAGATCTGGAGGGAGGATTAGCGCGGGATGTGGGGGGAGGAAGCGAGCGGACTTGGTAGTATTGATCGGGCTTGGCGAGAGAAAGCATGAAGATGCTGAAGACGTAGAGAAGGGCGCCGGCGATGGACAGGTGATGGCTGCGGAGGGTGAGGGTGCGGATGAAATGAAACGGCTGGCGACGCACAAGTAGCCGGCGTCGAAAGCACGGCCGACAAAGAGGCCCGGAGCGTACATGAGGCATAGCTGGAGGCTTCCAATCCAGCTGGGGGGTGTGAGTGGAGGTCGGGAGGAAAGACAGAGAGCAGACCTGATGTTTGATGAGGTCTGGCTGGAGAGATACACCGTCTCGTAATAGTCTGGGGACGGGTGAGGAGAGACAGGCGAAGGAGCGGGACACGGACCTTGGTAGACACCAAACGCGCTGATGTAGCTGAAAAGGGAATGAGCGGGCGGATGGAAGGAGGATGAGGAGACTTGCCCAAAGGTGGAGAACTGGACCATCCAGGCACCCGCAATGGTGAGCCAGGCAGAGAGACCGCCATCGGGTGGATCGGTGGGTTGAGCGGGGGGCGGGAGAGAGGCCAGCTCCTTGTCAAAGCTGGCGGTGGAGAGAGACATGTCTGAGCGAGAGGAAGCCAGGACGTGGCTGAAAAGGAGAGGAGTGGGACGCATGGGTGAAGGAACGTCGCGAGGAGGGAGCTTCATTCGGGCCAGGTCCATGCGAGGACAGATGCGAGATGATCATTATTTCATACATTTATGAGCGTCTCCCAGCGTTTCTGTTCGCGTGTGGCACCCCGGCTTCTTTGCGGCGACGTCGCTATTCGCCGGCGCGTTTCCGGCATTTATCGACGGTTATCATCCTCGGCAGCTCCTTAGCCCTCCTCGTCGCCGATGGCGCGCATCCGCTCTCCATGGCCACCGCCGACCACCAAATTCCTTTCTCGCTTCCCGTTCATCCGGATCCGCGCGCCCCCGGTGATCGCAATAAATCCACTTGTTCGTACATCTACCCTCTGCCCGCACTCCCAATCGACACTGCCCCCGCCGCCAGCGGGTGCGCCTTGGCCTCCGCACCCGCGCTCCCAGGCGGCGACGGCGCCCTCCGCCCCGCCCTCAAAGGCATCGGGCTCCCCCTTCCCGGCGTCCCTACACTCGCCTTTGCCGCCACCGCGCCCTTGCGCACCCACCGCACCTTCAGCCACACCCACCCCACCCACGTCTGTCCAAACGCCGCTCGCTCCCGCTCCTCCCTCCGCCGCTCGAACGCCGCCCGGTACCGCTCGTACGACTCTCGAAACCCCCGCTCCACACGCGACGAAAAGATGAGTTCGCCCCGCGGATTCGATGCTGGCGGGATCGGCGGAATCGGCACACTCGTGCTGCGCTTGTTAGGTGCGTTGGGACTCGGCGAGCGGCGGCGGACAGATGCTGCAGAAGAGGTGCGAGATGGCGGCGGTGGATCTCGTGGCCGCGGAAAGAGCAGCGCGAGCGGGTTGAACGGGAGCTTCAGCGGCGGCTGCCGCACGTTGAGGTACATGTTCAAGTTGCGCAGCGCCCGGTTCGCGTGTGGCACATATCTGCACGCACCGTGAAACGCGTGTACGACGCTGTGCGGTCTCACTCACCGGTTCGCATACCCAATCTTCTCCGCGTACATCCCACTCGCAAAGAACAGCACCAGCGTCGTCACCGCGACGCACAGCAGACCCGACGCAAAGTACGGGTGGACACGCACGACCGTGTCCGGCTGATACACCTCGGGCAGCGCCCAACAAAGCACATACGCATATGGGATCGCGAGCAGGTTCGTTTGCAGCAGCACCTCGGACAGCAGAAACGCAATGATCAGCAGCAGCTGTCCGAGAAACACTGAGTGCCATCAGAGCAACATCTACACAGAGCCGGTCGCCGTCACGCACGTTGATAACGGTGCTTGCGCCGCGTCAGCGTCGCTGCGTTTGTCTTGAGCCGCTCTTCAAACAGCAACAGGTCGCGATATGTGGCTGCATCATTGGTTGGGCGAAACGACGTTGAGCTCGACTTGGACAGCGGTCGCGGCGGCATGAGTAAAGTGGCGGTTGTCCGCCAGGCGCGCGGCTCGCATTCACGTGGGTTAAATAGACGCCACACGGCCTACGTAGACAACAAATAACGATTGTGTGCGACTGGTATTCAGAACAAAGATAAAACGCAGGTATAAATGAAGGAATGAGTGGTGGTGGCTAAAATACACCGAGCGAGTGGGTTAGTGGCGCATGCCCGCCCTGGCGCCGCCTCCGCCAATGAGCACCGTCATCCATCCAAACATCGCCATTAGGAAGCGCACCAACCACGCGGGATCGGCGCCCACCCCAAGGCCAGGGCGGAGCTGCAGCGCAAATGCAATATCGAGCTCCGGCACCGGCGCACGGTACGCCCGACGATGGGCGGCCGTCTGTTCCTCGTCGTCGTCGAACAGCGCGCCAGGTATGCGCGGCGAGGACACGGCCGTCGGCCGGAGACTGTGCAGCCCGAGCGTGGGCGAGTCCGTCGCGCGCAGGGCCCAGGCGGGCTGGGAGATCGGCGAAGGGGAAACAACCTCGCGCATGTGAAGCGGTCGGCGGAGAGGAGAGGGCCGTGGGGATGGTGATACCGGTCGGGACGGTTGAGATGACGAGGGGAACGGGGACGGCAGTGTAGGCAGAGGCAGCAATTCCGGATCAGGATGCGTGATAAAGGGTTGTTCTGGTACGTCTTGGCCGGTGAAGAGCAGAGACGTCTCTTGCACGGGTTGGACTTTCTCATCCGAAACCGACGACGACTTCTCGTTCAGTGCAGCGCTCAGAGACGTCTCACGGTCAATGACAACCTTGCACTCTGTTGAAAAGTCGCTATCATCGGGGAGACGAATGGAAGAGCCTTTCTTGAGCTGTGGCAGCACATCCCAGCCGAGTTGGAGCAGCAGCGAACGATACCAACGGATAAGGTACCACGTAACGGCGATGCACAACATGGCAAGAAGCGCAGCAATACAGGAGATGGCGAGGACAAGCAAGGAAGGAGACATTGCATCTTCTGACGACGGCCGCAGGCTCTCCTCTGTCGCGTCGGGTTCCGTCAGAGGCTCGAGGTCTTCCGCCTTTTGCAGCTCTGGTAAACGATCCTGTTCGCCATCCAAGTCGTCAAGAAGGCTTGTGCGCTGGCTACCCAGGATGTGGTATATCCGTCTCTCGTCGTCGGAAAGGTCGCCATCCGGACTAAGAGGCAGCACCGCTTTGACGGCATCCGGTGTTTCCTGCAGGCGAGCCAAATACGCGTCCTGCTCGTCGCTCGAGGTCAGGTGGATGTGCACATCTTGATCGCCATCGCATGATAGACACGCGAGGCTCTCACTGCGAGAAGAGACATGAGCACGGCCTGTGAGCGGTAACCATGGCAGACTTGGAGCTCACCCCGTACGTGACTCGAAGATGGCTTGGACAGCATTTTGAACGTCGTGAAATGAATCTACGCTGCTGTGTGCGTCAGCGGCAGAAGTGAAAGAGACGGACGGCACTGACACTTCGGGGGTATCATTGGATACGATGGGGCGCGCTGTTACGACCAGCGCAAGGAGAGAAAAGGAGACGAGGATGGTGAGGGTCATCGACGAGAGACAGCGTCACGGACGACGACGCAGTGATCGCTCGCACCGAGGACAGCTCATCAGCGGTGGTGGTGACGCTGAGACTCCTCGTCGCGGCGCGCTTAACAGCTCGGCTAACGTGGTCACGCTTCCTATCCTACAAACATGATGGACTACAAATGCACAAGGCTAACATTCGCAGTGAACCCGCCGCCGACTGTCGCAATCGCCATGATGATTCCGATGACCTGCATCGTCCGCCAGAAGCCCGACTCGTGCTGTATTCGATCGTGCTCCTCCTCCGCCGCCGACTTCTTCTGTGTCGCCCGTCTGACATGAGGCGACAAGAACGGGTCATAATGCTGCGACTGCGGCCGAAACTGCGATCCTGCAGGATGACTGTAACCAGTCTGGTACCCTGGTGGCGGCCGATAATTGCCCGCTCCTGGTCGCCGCGAATGCTCCCATGCATAGGTTGCACCTCTGCGGCGACCTTCTGACGACCAGTGCGAATATGGTGAAGAGTGAGATGAACTCTTTGCATGCGTCACCGTTGAGGGTACGGCCAACGACCGATCGTACGCTCTCCTGCGCAACATCTCCATGATGAACTGCTCGATGGCAGAGTAGCATGCAACGTACCGCCTCCTATCGTCACCCAGCACCGCGTAGGCCTCGCTCACTGCATGAAACTTCTCTCTTGCCTCTGGATCCTGTGTAACATCAGGGTGATACATCTTACTGAGCTGCACGGCGTGAATTCATCGTGACTTTCGCGAACGAGTTGAGCTTGATCTATCGCACCTTGTAAAAGCTCGACTGCATGTCGTTCAATACAGCACGTACAGACGGTGGAAACTGACCAAACGTGCCTTGATCTGACTCTTGCTAGCATCCTTCGGAACGGAGAGGGTCCCGTAGTGTCCTTCATGGCGACAGAAAGAGGTCGAGGAAAATCCTCTCCGGGTATACCTCGCTGGACCGCTTATGATGGAATGATTGAAGGTATTTAATGTCGAGAAATTCATAGTCAACGTCGTAGCTGGAAAGCCATGCACGGAAAGGAGGCGACCCCCGCTGTCAGCGGGAACATCCGAAACTTGAATCTGAGATTTACCCCGCACTGAAATATATTTTATCTTAGCTCAAGCTGCACTCCCATAAATCACATCCCACAACTGCGTCGTCGGAACTGCCTCTGCATATGCCCGCCTCGCCAATCTAGTATGAGTATGCTGTTCGTACGCGTACGCAAGCGAGATGAGGTCAAACTCGCTGTACGCTGTGCCTAGGAAGCAGAGACCAATCGGTACGCCCGGCGCTGGGTACACGGTCTCCGGCCCAGCCAGGCCAATCGTGACGTTCTCGGGGTAGAAGCCCATCGGTACTATGGACGCCGAGCAAGGATGAGCGTTCATGCAATTCCGCTCACTTGCGGTGCTCACCTGTCACAATAGGATAACCCGCAATTGCTACAAAGCTCATGCATAAATGCATGTAAAGTGATTTCAGAGCAGCACGCGTACCTGCCGGTGTTGTCGTATACCCAGGAGCAGGAAGGACCAAGGCATCCAATTCGTACATCTGCAGGGCAGCATCAATCCCGTTTATAGCACCCATCTCCTTGTCGTACGCGAGGGCAGCATAATAAGTCGAGTTGAATCCATTTGTTGTCTCTGATTCGATGAGTCTGCGTTCGAGGAGTTAGTGGAATTACCGGGGAGGAGTCTTTCGAATAACGAACATAGACTGGCTTGTATAGCCGATAGGCTCCTCCAATCCCGGGTAATCATTGTCGAATTGGATCAGCTCCGCAAGCGACCGCACACCGGACGGATTCTCCAGCAATGAAGCATACCACTCGTTCAGTTGGATCTACCATTGATGTGAGCCAAATAGCACGAGAAAGCTGTCAACCGCGCTCACCTTAAAGTCGACATCGAGCACGAGTGTCTCATTGTTCGACGCCACAATCGCTTCAGAGGACGGCAGGTCCGCAGGGTCCACAATATTTGCGCCCAAACTGGCTATCGTCACCAGTGCCTGCTCGAACAGCATGTTCACATACGGGTCATTCCCAGTGATCGTGTCGTTGAGGAAAACCGCACGCGGGACGCCGATTCGCTTGCCCGCGAGTGCGTTCCGGTCGAGCGCATTCACGTAGTCGGGTACGGGGTACGGCTGTGCGAGCGTGAAGTTGTCGTTCGGATCGGGCCCCGCGATAATCGAGAGCACGATGGCCGCGTCGGAGATTGAACGCGTCAGCGGGCCCACGGTGTCTTGGTGCTCCGAGATGGGGATCACTGCGAGATAATGTATCAGTGTCGCGGGTCAGAAGCACTCTGCTTAGTCGTACCACCAGCACGAGAGGTCACGCCTACCGTGGGCTTGATACCAGCCAGGTTGTTTTGATTGGCGGGACAGATGATGCTGCCGTCCGTCTCGGTTCCTAATGTCACTGCGGCCAGTCCGATGGATGCAGCCACAGCGGAACCTGAGGAGGATCCGCACTGGCACTACATGAGTGTTCAATTCCGCTCGTCGAATAAGCCGCTACACATACCGGATCGGCATGAGGGAAGTAAGCATTTGTACACTGGCCGCCGCGACCCGACCATCCGGACGCGAGGTTGCCTCGGTAGTGCGCAAACTCGGATAGGTTGGCCTTACCTGTCACTAATGTGAGAAAACATAGAATGCGGGACGGTATGCGCTCGTACCTAGAATAATAGCACCAGCCGAACGTAGTCTTTTGACGACCCCAGCGTCACCGGGAACCACTGACTTTAACAGGCTGTAGGACCCAGCAGTAGTGTTCATTCCTGAGGCGACAGCGGTTAGTGTCACAAGTCACCAACGACGAATTCATGAACCTTCTTCATCAAGAGTGGCGATATTGTCCTTTACTAGAACCGGAATGCCATGCAACATGCTACGCGGCCCTGTAATCAACCGTTCTGTATCGAGAGCAGCAGCTTGCTCTAGGGCTGAAGGGTTGGTCTCAATGATGGCACGAAGTTGTGGGCCTTGTAGATTGACTTCTGCGATACGAGCAAAGTAGGCCTGGGATCATAGAGTTTACTGACCCACACGAGGACAAGTGAGAAGAACACATAACGTGCCTTGACGAGATCGACGCTCGTGAATGTACCAGATTGCAAGCCAGCCTAGGAACACAAGTCAGCGGTTATCTCATGGCACAAAAGGCGTTATACCTGTAACTCCTCAACGGAAGCCTCGTACAGATCGGGAAATGCAGCACGATGTTCAAGCACCTCAGTCGAAAGAACTGACGGTCGACTTGCCAGTGTCGCGTGCGAGAGAAGCAGAACAGCAAATGACAGCAATGTCCAGCAAAGGGGCAATCGAGGCATTACGACCATTCACTGGGAGAGCCCGCAAGGTGTTACTTATCGCGCATGGCTGATTGTTTATATACCTTCCGTGCGAGGAGGGGGCCGAGCGGCCCTTATCTTGGTATATACATAGGTTGAGAGCTTTTCTTTCCCTCGTCTATGAATGGTGTGTGCTCGAAATGTGGTCGAGTGTCAGATATGGGGTTGAATGATATACGCGCGATAGTACGCTCGCATTCGCCATTCAATAGAACATAGATACAGTCATGGTGATTACTTTATCTGGAGAGTGGCCCTTGGATCACGTGATTGCTGATGAACCCTAATCGACTCTTCAAAGTTCACACCGCATCCCATCCTTGTTCATCATAACCTTCTAGTCGTTGTTAACCATGGTTAGCTGTCTCGATTCTGTGGCCAGCTCATCGACTACACTGACGATAACCTGAACAGTCTACCAACTGTCGCCGCCGCCTCATCCGCGACTTCAAGCGTCTCTCCACCGACCCTCCGGGCGGTATCTCTGGCAGCCCATGTCCCGACAATATCATGCTGTGGAACGCCGTCATCTTTGGGCCAGGTAAGGTCACCTCAGTCGCAGCTGCGGCCGATGCTCACACGACACGTAGCGGATACACCGTTTGAAGACGGCACGTTCAAGCTGCTCCTCACCTTCGACGAGTCCTATCCCAACAAGCCACCGACTGTCAAATTTCTTTCGCGCATGTTCCACCCCAATGTCTATGCGAACGGAGAACTCTGTCTTGACATCCTCCAGAACCGCTGGTCCCCAACGTACGACGTCGCCGCCATCCTCACATCCATACAGAGTCTCCTCCACGACCCCAACCCCAACAGCCCTGCCAACGCGGAGGCTGCCCAGCTTTACAGGGAGAACATGAAGGAGTACGTGAGAAGAGTCAGGGCGACAGTAGAGGAGAGTTGGCTTGATCCGGAGGAGCAGCAGCAGATGGAGGAGGGCAGTGGCGCGCCATCCACGTCCTAAGATGAGACAGTTCGCTCGTGTGCATGTATACCATTCGCTTATAATTCGACATTTACCCATTCCATACATTGTTTAACTGGATTTAATGACCACGACATCATCTGAGCTTATGCATTCTATTTGCGCTATGCGACATCCGCCTCGCGACCGGAATCAATGCAGGCCTGGCCAGAATGTAAAAATATCTATCAATGCAACATTAATCGAGAACACACGAAGATCTGCGTGATGGTACACTACATCCACTAGCAAAGTACCAGTCCCGAAGCTAAGTTCCTACCACGACGTGAAGAGGTCGAGCAGTTTGAAGAATCCCCACAAGCAGCCACCCGAAATTATAGGGAGAGTAAGATTGTCATCTAATGAGTCAAGGTCTAAAATATGGTTCAGCGGTGTGGATCTCGTTCGAGGAATGGACGAGCGTACCAAGAGCCTCCGCCACGCCAGATATAAGCCCACTGACAACTCCGAGCACGGCAAGCCCAAACCATCCACCGACACTCTCTGATGACCCGTGATTCGCCGTGGCCCTTCCTATCCAATGATACCTACTTTCGGTACCGAACGTCGGTACAACCCATCCCCAGAAGCCAATAGCAGTGAATGCCCCCGTGAGGGCAGCGGCGATGAAGCCCGCTAGCGACTTGCGCGTTGCGAGCGGGAGACCGAGAATGGGGAGGCGACGAGGGAGCGATGGTGTGCGCGAACCCCACAGGCGGCCAAAAGTGGAAGCGGCGGTATCCGCCCATGAGAGACTACGCACACGATAAGCCAGCCGGCCACACATTGTACGGCAGTGAGACGTACATCAATATAGATACCACCGCGATATCAAGCGGGTACACGGAGAGGGCAAAGATGACCCCGAGGATGTACCAGATCACCCCGTTTGTGCTCTTCTGCTGTGATTGTCAACATCGTATGCAAAACAGAGGCGATTACGCCGCACCTTCTCACTTTCACGCATGAGGAAGCCCACAGCACGTTCGTAGACCCGTTCGAACTGCGCGGATCGAAGTCGGAGGATGTCGCATGGAACGATGATTGCCAACCCGGCAGTGAGCACGACGACCACGTTGCGCGCTGAGCCATTGGACACGTAGAGATACAACGTGAGGAATCCTACAAAATGACGTTCAGCCGTTGAGAATGCGCGACTACGGGGCAAGAAGAACATACCAATGGAGGAATGCAACGTCTTGCGGGGTATCTCCCAGTCCACGATCTTAGACACACCCGGCTTCTTCGCCTCCGTCTGCTTCAGCTTCCGGTTGCACGGCGGCAGTTCTGACGCTGCCGGCGGATGTTTGTCCGGCTGGGAATCTGGCGAGTGGCCATTGCTGAGGCCCGTCGACATCGACCGTGTTCGAGACGTCGGACGTCCGTGTTGGGCGGAGACGAAGGGGAGCTTGGTGGAAGGCGACTGTAGCCCGAGACGGGCTGGATCATGCGTTAGGCCAAGTGTAAAGGCGTCGTTCCCGGGCAAGGTCATCTTGTTGTCGTGTGGCACACGATGGTGGCACAGGGTGGCGAGCGCGTTCGAACGAGCTCAAGCCACCTGTTACTACTCCATTTGTACGGTCCATGCCACGTCACGGTGCCCCATACTGCCATATAAGCTTGCAACGCATCAAATGAGACAATACTACATGTCGAACGCTCATGCAAGAGCGGTCTTGGGGACAAAACACGACCAATTTCGCGCCAAGGTAGTGCGATAGGTTGTATCGAAAGCAACACGAGAGAAGGTAATGTACCGTAAATACAACATGCTCATCCTGCCAAGCTCACACGTCTAGTAGACATAGCCCAAGAGCTTACCACCGACATTTTTGCGACGCGCCTCCTCGTGGTCAATGATGCCAGAAGACGTGGTCTGCAATATTATCAGTATCCAGGGTCATCCAACAAGTTTGCAACACCTTACAAGGATGATGATACCAAATCCACGCGCGGGGAGGAGGAGATTGATCCACGTCTCAATCTGCGAGATCTGGACATTGTATCGGGGAGAGATGACACCCGTTTTGTTGAGACGGCCGATCAGCTGGATGACGATCTTGCCGGAGCGGTGGTCATCAATGATCTCGAACTCGCCAATGTATTCTACGGAGAACTACGTCAGCACGCCGCTTCCATGCGGTTGATGCAAGAAGAACAGTTGTAAATATAGTCTTTGTCGTGAACACGCATCTGTAGATGCAGTTTGCGTGTTATGGTTTTGAAAGACAAGCGTTGATGTATCGGAGCATTAAAACGAGGGGCGGGTGGGGACGAAACCTCGTCGATCGTAGTTATCACTCCGAGGGAAGAGGTCAAGACAAGACAGGAAAAAGGCACGCACGATGACGCTGCATCACCGTCAGAAACTTGACAATGACCTTCGACGATGGCCTGATGAGAACCTGACGCTTGCCCCGGCGCTCAGCATTGACGATGTTGTTCTACGACTGAGTTAGAGCCAGTTCTTGACTGAGAGAGTATCCAACAACTTACAAGGCAGTCGTTCTACGACAATGGTAAAGTCTTCTTTAGCACTGCATCATGCATTGCAATCATTACACTTACAAGGACAGACACGCGAACCATGGCTGAAAGAGGTAGGTGCCGTGAGGGAACAGTACTGGAGACGAAGCAGCCTAGAGTCAGTAGATGCTCGTCCGAGTGTCGTGCTACGGAAAGCGCGAGTCAAGACGAGCTCTTGAAGACCACCGTGGTGCAGAAGTCATTCGTCAAGTGCTCTCCGTCCTGTGCAGCAGACGAGATGTCCGTATTCACCTTGTGTGTGTCTTGAGATGGAGGTCGGCGACGCGTCGGTACACGAAATTGTGTGGGCGCTTGGTGGCGCAGCGGGCAACTGTACAGTACCAGCAAGCCGCTCGGCAACTTCCGATTGTGGCACGAGTGTGCTCTAGTGTGCTACTCTGTCGTCCTCCGCCGCAAGCTACCCCAGCCCGTGAAGTTCCACTTACTCCTCCTCTCCGTAGCCAGCACTATGGTCAGCTTTTCGCGGTTCGTTCATCGATGCAACTCACGCCGGGCCGGTTATTAGGGTCGCGTTCGCACCAAGACGACGAAGCGGGCTTCCCGAGTAATTATCGAGAAGTAGTAAGTCCGTCCGTTCATTCATATTTCCCGACTGGCATTGCCATTTCGCGAAGAGATTTCTGAATCGTTGGTCCAGCTATCCGCGCCTTACGCTCGACTTCCACACCAACAAGCGTACCATCGATGAAGTGGTCAGTCCAGCGGATTTTCTCCTTCCGATGACCGCATATTCATTCTGATATACGGACCGACATAGGCAGTTGTCCCCTCCAAGCGTCTGCGCAACAAGATTGCCGGATTTACGACCCATTTGATGAAGCGTATACAGCGAGGTCCCGTCCGTGGTATCTCGTTCAAGCTGCAGGAGGAGGAGCGTGAGCGGAAGGACAATTACGTTCCGGAGATCTCGGCTCTTGACACCAGCGTAAACGGTCTGGAGGTGGACCCTGACACTGAGGTGCGCTTAGTCGCGACTTGCCTCTTTCATTGTTCCTGATAGAAACATCGGTATTCACTACACAGGCACTACTCCGTTCTCTCAACTTTGATTCCATCCCTCACAGCGTCGTCCAGCCTGTTGTCGCCCAGCCCGAGCGAGGCCCGCGACGTGAGCGGCGGAATGTTCCCGGTGCTGGCCGCTCATGAGCACCTACCGCGCGGTGTCCTTAAAATCTACATATTCCCGTGCGCTGTCTCCTTATCTGTACTTAGCACTCTCTGCAAGCAGTTTTTCCCCACCGGTGCGCCAATAATGTGTATCATCCTGTGGCTTTAATGTGAGATGACTGCCTTCATGATTGTTTGTTGTCTTAAGTATGTGAGGCCTTTCATGCAAGCTCCTGTCGCTCGGCTATCCTATGCTCATAGAAGACGGATCTGGCTCGCCAGCGCAAGGTGTTCTCGCATTGCAACTGCATCTATGCATTGTTCATTTACCCGCCGACAAAGATGGACCTCCCTGCACGATGAATACCACCTCCTACCTGCACAACGATAGCACGCCCCAGTTCGTACTTCATGCTAGGGCCTGTAAAATGCGCCGGAGAACACTTTCAGCAGCAATGCGCGATGCTGCGCAACGCTCCGTTAACACGCGAACTCAGTGTTGTCAAGTGCACCGCGAAACAGTTGGGTGTCGGTGCGCTGGACGTCTTCGGGAGCGCGACGGTCATGTGGCCTATGCGACTCACGGAACGGGTCAGGACTACAGAGAACTTTGTACCTGTAGACTTCCGCTGTGCCGTGCGACGCCCTTTTCCCACTGTTACCGTCACATCCGATGCGAATGAACGTGGAGCAATCCTCGCGCGCCGTGTCGCAAGGCCTGATAACCCAAATCCTGCTACACTCTGAATTGATACAACGGCCGGCATCAGCGTTTCGCAGCTCACACCCATACGTCGGCCTTCATGGCAGGGCAACAAAGGTATCTGAAGTGAAGCGTGCATTACGAGCTGCCTGCCTGACTTCTTTCTCGGCTCACACGACTTAACTATATCGTTTGCTGTCCTAGGCAAGATCTCGGGTGTCTTCCTCTTCAGTATGGTGCGCCTCCTTGCTGTCCATGCGTGCGACTAACAAAACCCTGGTCACTTAGTCCAAATCCGGTCCTCGGCGGCGTGACGACCTTCTTGTTCTCAAGTGTCGCTGTTTCGGGCGTTCGCTCCTCCCATAGACCAGATTCACGCGTCGCGATCGTTTCGTCCTTGCTGCACACTCTCCTTCGGCATCACAGACCTGCTCATGCCCGACTTCTACACTTGCCTGTTCGACGGTGTCAACAATCCAAGCAGCGACCCGAAGGGCTTACTCAATCGAGATCGTGTTGGCAGCACCGTGTACTTCAACCTTTCATCTTTGCTCCTTCACTTGCTGACTTCGCTGCTGTCCTTGTGCCGGATATCACCGCACTGGTGCGAAACCTTATCCTACCGACAGAGGACATCCAAGTCGATGACGACAATGACCAGGTAGAGATTGTTGATGGTGAGGCAGATGGTCATGAGATGAAGGGAATTCATTAGTTCATAAACCGGCACCATGGCATCCTCATAACTAGCTATCATATCCATGTAAGCCTTAACAATGAAGAATAAGTGCGGGAGCAGCATCCTAAATGGATATGAAATTATGTGGTACAGTTACTGGAGCAATATTCCAATCATAAACCAGTGACCTTCATTAATCTTTGACTTAGTACTTCTACTTGAGCATAAAAATGAAAGATAATTGTGACGTGAGGTCATGCTGTGGACAGTGATTGGATGAAATAAGAAGTGTTCTGAGCTGCTTGTGATGATGACAATCAAGAGAAGGTTTGAATAGCACAGTACCTTTGTTCGTGTCCAGAACCGTGTTATACGGCCATTATGGAAGCCAGAGAGCCACAATTCAAATATGAGTGAATAAATCAGCACGACTTGTGAACAATTGCTAGAACTGCTCATGATTGAAGTCAACTTGGGTTAAGGCTGTTCAGAAAGGCCAACACTTGTCATATTTGTGCATGGCCTTATCGGCAGCTGACGCTGTCCATAAT